TTGCATGAATATGAATGCAAAACGAAAATATTTTCACTCTATTAAAATATAGTTTGTGGTAAAAAGCAATGTTTAAATGGTGTGGAACTAATATTTGGAATACTTTGTTCATTTTACATTACAGATATACATCGGAATTTTTTGGATGTGATGGAGATCATTTAACATTTAGATTGTAATCAGTTATGGTTGTCGTATGATTTAACTATAGGAAAACTGTCTTCACATTCAGTACATATCTCGACAGCATCTAAAAAATCACTACTTTTTTAAATATTTATGATCATACCCTTAAAATTTACCGTTAGCAGTCAACATTACTTTTCATCTTTGAAAATAGCAAGTACAAAAGATTCAGTATGGCTGACCGAATGTTATCATTTTTAAGAATATCGTTTCTTATTGTGTTCTTTGATTTATTCAATAACTGTGTGGTGCTAATGGTAATAGATAATTAGTTTGTGGTTAGGATAAATTAGATTGCTGTAGAACATAAATTTCTCAACATCAAAAATTATCTGCAATGAGTTGAAAAGAAATTTTACCTCTGTAACCTGCAATAATAGGAATATATGCTTTGAATAATCTGCCGTTTGACCTAACTAATGCACCTTCTCCTTCCCAAGGATTAAAGCATACAACACTGTCTAGAGGGTGCCACATGCTTATTTGTTTTATCTAGATGACGTTATAGTACACGGAACCACTATTCAGGGACATTTAGAAAATTTGCAGTTTTAGAACGCTTTCAAAAATTTGATTTACAAGTACAACCATCAAAATGTTACCTGTTGAGGAAGCAAGTTAAATTCCTAGATTGTGTAGTTGATGGTCAAGAAATACATTCAAATACCGAAGACGTCGACGTCATCCTAAACTGCTAATGAACTTCGTAACTTTCTATGTTTATCAACTTATTACAGGAGGTTTATCCAAGGATTTTTAGAGATTGCAAATCCTCTTTGTACCTTGCTAGGAAATGATGTTAACTCTTAATGAACTAGTAGGCACTAACAATCATTCGACCAGTTAAAAGAGTTACTATATTTGACGCCAATTTTATCATATCCGGGATGTCCTGCTGGGCGTTTCATCCTAGACACTGATGCAAGTAACCAAGCTATCAATTCTGTATTATCACAAGTCTTTTCTGATGGAAAATAAAGATTTATTGCTTACGGAAGCAGAATGTTACATAAAAAAGTATTGTACAATACGCAAAGAAATGGTAAAAATCGTTTAATTAGTTAGCTACTTCCGGCATCACCTATTAGGACGTAAGTTTGTTATTGGAACTGATCATATAGCTTTGATATGGTTACATAATTTTAGAGAATAAGAAAGCAAGATTGCTCAATAGCACGAGTGCTTACAAGAACATGACTACGAATATGTCCATAAATCCGGTAAACAGCATCAAAATGTGGGCGCATTATCACGCAGAGCAGCTAAACCTCATAGAAACTGTCCTTCGTGAGTCACACCGAAGACGAATGTAATAGAGTTGAACTACCTGTTGTAGAGGCTTTTACTAAAGATTTGGAGATGTAAAGATAACTCTGCTTTTCGTAGAAAACCGGCACTATCTCAGAGTCATTGACAGATAAAATACAGTCATAATTTATTAACAATGATATTAAAATATGAGGTAAACATTAAATTTTTTATTCTGGAAATTGAATTTTAGTAACTGTTTTCAATGAAACAAAATAAATAGTTATTGAAGCACTTTAGATTTGGAAATATTTAGCATCTATTTTGAAAGTTATTATGGAATACGTATTTAAGATATGGATCAGATTAAACCAATGTATTATGCGTCAGAAAGTTGTTTAACACAAAAGCTTTGAAAATCTCCATTTCACCCATAATTACATGTTTATCTAATCCTCTATTAAAACAAGGTTTGTTAATCAGATAAAATGAAATTTGTATCCGATATATAATTGAATGATTGACATTTTGCAGAAATTTTGTCCATAGTTTTATGCAGAACTATTTGAAGAATTAGCGTCTTCGGGAATGGATATGTGGACGATATGATTTAATAAGTTAAGTATTAAGGTTGAAGGTAAAATATTACCAGTTTACAGATGCGCACTGCTGAGCAGTCCCATAATAGAACGAAACGGCCATCAAGTGCTTCCAGGTTTTCCATATTGGTCCACGTTCGATTGACTCATGATCTCAGCTATTAAGATATCGTTTGATTTAGAAAAACTCGTTGTGACAGATAACTGATTAATCTCTGTATAATAATTTCAAATCATGGTTTAATTTTTAGTATTCTATGGCCAAGATAGTTTTAACAAAAGTGATATACTTTTATAACTAATTTTCGGATGATTAAATTTACTAACTGAAATATGACCGGCTGATAAAAATATTATATACAGTTAATAAGTTATCATCAGTGTACGAAACATGTTTATTTGTGACTATTGAACAACCCGAAAGTTCTTATGATTGTTTATTCCCCGAAAACACAAGCGTTCACTTCCAAGTATTAGTAACTAATCACAATATCTTATTTTTAATTTAAACAACCACTGTGACTGGAAATTATGAAGACCCAGTTTATATTGTTCAAGTTAGCAACAGTCAGTTAAAAGCATAGCTATGGGGAGCCTATAAAAAATAATCTTTTATGATTTATTCATCAAAAGTCTGGCAAGATACAAAAACGTGACGCATTCGTACAAAGAACTGTGATGTGAATTTGTTGAAAACAGTTAGTAGGCCTGGAATTTATCAGTTTACGGACAACTGGTTTTTTATTTAAATGCAGATCGGAACAGAAAGTGCCTCAATGTTCGAAGGCTATGTTTCATAATTTTAGAGTTGAAACAATGTATACAGATTGGAAAAGACTGAAAAGAAATAGGAAAATGTGTTAATGCAATTTCGTCAGTTCATAATGTCATATTATGTCATTTTCATACAAGCCGCTGTTGTAATTAACATTTAAGTTTAGGTGGTCACTCTCTCGAAGTTTTGTACTTCATTACGTGAAATGTTCATGATATTTATAGTCTGTTATAGATTTTAGTAGTTTACTTAACAGCAGTTTACATGTTAAATAAGGTGTTGCTTTGTTGCAGTGGTTAATAAAGATGATGCTTGCGAAAAACATATTTCCACTTCTAAATTGGCAACGATTTTCACTATTTGGGAAATCGGTTAGTGGATAATGTCCTTCACAAAATTTAAAGTGTGTCAAATAAAACATATATGTACACTGATGTCAGGGTTTCAGAAGAACAGAAAGACTAGTCTTCATTCGTTCCAATCCACGTTCTTCCATACATCTAGTCAATGATGATCTGAATATTTTAGTAATTCAACTCTACCTACATTTAGTCAAGTATTCATAAGCAACTTGCGACCTGACACAGACATATGTAATTCAGACTTTTAAGGCTTCACAACAGTAAAAGCGGTAAAGAAAATTGACTTAATGAAAAACAATGTATTCGAATTATTTTATATGCCAAGTATAGTTCGAAAAGAACAAGTGGAATGAATAGAGAAATATATTTCATATACATAAAGCCTGATATTTAAAAAGATATAATTATGGATGACTGCATCTTTAGAGCTATGTTGCTTTAAATATCAATCGGAGGGAAATGATTAGCATTACCTATGCTTCAAATCACTAGTTATACATTTCTTGAACTGAGGCCATGTGTCGTTGCATATCTCAATAGGTGATAGCTTGGTTTATTGAACAAATCACTTATTGAATATTAATATACGGTACACAATAAAAGTCTCTTAAGAGTGACTGATGGAAAAAATGTTTCGAATTCCTCTCAAAGGAAAGAGATAAATTTACAATCAGATTTTCAAAGCTTATTATCCTTATTCACACAATGAGAGTAGTCAACGTTTAGTGTATTGTTAAATATCAACTTTTTCATCTTCGTTTGGTCATATTGTTCGTTAGTTCAAATATCCGTAGGTAATCAAAGCACTTTTGTTGTTGAAAAATTCTAACTTCAAGTTTACTTTAGTCGATTTTGTTATATGCTTTAAACATTTATTAAGTATTAAGTGAATTTGTGCATAAAATAGCTACAAAAGAATAAAATTTTATGATGAAATAGTAATATAAAAGAAACTACCTAAACTTTGATTACTTAAAATTGTCCAGTGATTCATCATTGAATTAGTTGTTACGCATTTGTTGAACCGAAAAATTCCCCTAACTGATCCATAGCGTAAGGATGGCTCGTTGAAAAACTCAAGGAAGCCTCAAGAAGCCCAGAAAGAGCAGAAGACATCCCACCCAATCATTCTAGAATGTCGACGTGTAGCTTCTCTATTGGATGAATAAGAAGGGTCGCCTATGTGCCTATTGGCTGTCGGATAGGATGATTTACTTTCAGCCAAAAAACTATAAATACATGAGATTTTTGTACTATATTTGAAACTGTTTTGGGAACAACATTCCTATATACTAGCCTTCTGTCTTCTCTTTTGCGACGTTGCGGGTTTGATCGTTCAAGTAGTCTAGTAGTACGAGAAATAGCAAGAATCAAAGCTCTAGATATAACAAAACGTTCATTCGATGAGAATGTGGATGTAGTTGTTGATGGATGATGGGGAATGAAGAGAGTTGGATGGGAGAAAGCGGCATAATTATTAGTGATAATCATTGGTATTGTGAGTGGGCGTTTGTGTAGGCGTCCGGGCGTCGGTGGTTCAATGGTAGAATGCTCACTTGTCACGCGGGCGGTCCGGGTTCGACATAGCAAGAATCTAAAGCTCTAGATATAACACATAGTATCCTTTAAATAATAATCCTAATATCATTTCACTACGAAATATGTTTTTATCAGCATATAGTGTAAAATTCATTGTTATAATAAAAGAATTTACTTAATAATAATAATAAAAAAAGTAATGAATAAATGTATTATAAATTCTTATTTAGTGAATATTTATATTAGTCTAGATTATTATTCTGTCATTTTTTTTCTTTTTCTTTTCTTTGATTAACCAAGTCTCATTAATCGAACAGCTCGTTTCATAAGCTCTGAATCATATTGATCACCATTATAAGGAAATTCTAGTTCAGCAACATTATCACCTTGACTAAATGAAGCTTTTCTAGGGGCTTCAACTCCTAAAGGATACCATCGACGCATTGGTTCTCCATTAATTTTATTAGCTAAAACAATAATAAAATAAAATGAAACAGTAAAAACTTTCATTGATTATATATTAATAATAAATGTTCGTTGGATCTTGTTAAATCTAACAAATAAGTACCAAAAAACGTCAAGTTTTTTTAATTTTACACTTGTCTATAATTAAACCGACGTCAAGAAGATCTTAGAAAATGGTTTGTGAAGTCTGCTAAATTTCATATTATTCAATGACAAAAACTGTTTCCAAGTTGAATAATAAATGTGTGTTTACTAGCTGTTACTTAGGAGAAACATCACTAAAATTCTAATGAGAATATATAATTTCTAATATTCAATTATGTCAGGAAAGAAATAGTTATCACCTATGATGTTGGTTGATGATTATAAATAATAGCGAATTCACTGAAGTGACATTATATTTTCCTGTAGACTTGATCGATCCACCTTCAATCATGTTCATGGCCTTGGATGTTGGAGAAGAACCTTACAGTGTCACATAAAACATATCATATCTACTCTCTTTTCCACAGCTCCTCCAAATAAGCCCAGCCTATAATTAAAATGACTATCAGATACCAAGGGAATTATATCAGATAAATATCTCATACCTAATTAATGAATCAAAATGACACTCTGTTACTAGAACAAGTATATCAAATACAAAATGAGAAATCATGGACATTGTTATAATTATGAGGATAATAATTATGAAGTAACTTTAGGAATAGTTCTGAACTATGTGGGTCTGTTTTTTAGTCTTACATAGAAATACTTAACATTTTTACAGAACAGAAAACTACCATGATAGGAAGAGGAGAAGTTTAGTTAGAGCAGTTTGTAGTCGTAAAGAACTAAACGATTGTTGTAAATAGTCGATGTTGTAAGCTTATGATTTGAAATTACTACTAGTTGAATATAACTTTTCTAATTCAAATGCGCATAAGCTAGACTAAGCAACAAGTAAATTTGTGTCACAAAAAATTATAAGAAAATAACGTTTAATTGAAAATATGTGAGTGATTATAAGCTTTATACTACTGACTAGATGACATGTATAACACTATCTGTAAACTCATATAAACAAAAGTATTCCTCGATGATAAAATAGCATTACTTTCTGTGGAATGATTCCATTATCTGAGTTCGTCTATAACATTCTATCTAGTCAATCAAATGTTTAACTTATTCTTCATATAGACTTATGAATTTAGTGATATGTATTGCATACGTTATTTCTTAATGAATGTATATTATTTATGTACATACATACAGCTTCTGTAAACCTCCAGACACGTCGATCGTTGTCAGACAAAACATTGAGTTGTCGCAACAGCATCAAATATAATATTTTTCATGGTCATAGAATGTTATCATTTAGTAACTAGTTGGCTATTTGATTCACTTTATCCGATGTTCCACAGATAATATGTTGAGTGAGGTTATACATACTGTAATATTGAAGTTTAAGTATAAAATAATACACTGTCTTAAAATAAAGCATATAGATTCTTTTCGTATCAGTTTTTATGTTAACTGGAACAGTTATCTAACATTTTTGTAAAGTTGTATTTCTATTGATGCACTCTGTTTGAACTGAGTGTCTGAAAATTCCATTATATTTTCATTCCGGTTGACCTTTATTTTCGTTCAGTTTAAAATAAATACAGGAAAATAGGTAGCAAAGGTTCATCACTATCTGTATCATATCACTAGTTAAAATTTCTCTAGGGGATATTCAAACGTAAATAGTATCCTTGACTTATTTAACAAACGCATGCTCATATAATTTGATACCATTAGATTATAGGTCTGTTTTTGTTCTTACTCACCTGTTTGCATGCTATAAAACATAATTGTTGAAAGCAAAAAAATTAGTATTTGTATTTTGCCAAACATCTCAGAGTGAATTGAATTGAATAGGGTATTGGCTAAAAAGAGAAAATTATACTAAAGATAATTACTGATGACTAAAGCTGTCACTCAAATAACAAAAGTTTATTAAATGTATGATGTCTATTTGGACATTTGAAAATGTAGTTTAGTTAATTATGTTAGAAATTCAAACCACATTTAGAAAATTATTCAAAAAGAGCTTAAGTACTAGCTACTAGTTAGTAAACTACACACAGTTCCTTCATTTGAATAAGATTAAAATTATCTATTTAATAAACCTATTCAGTTTCATTGGCACATTATGAATGTATTATACAGATCAGACTGAAAACTTATAAGTGCTTGATTCATTTTATTCAAGATCAGAATCATATTTATACGTACTCAAATAGCTGTGTTTAACTCATTAAAACTATCATCTTTTGTATGCTTTATCAAGGCCAGTTAATTTATAAATTTCATTTTGTGGTATTAGTTACGAATTAACTTTAACAGTTGCTTTACCTCATGTCTTGTTTGACTTGGTCAGTTTTTACAACAAAATTAGTAAGTTTTGTGAAAAATTTGACTCTGACTGATCTCTAAACTTGAACACATTTAAGATATTTGATAATAGCGAATAACGTATTCCACTTTTTAATGCTTATGCTAAAGTGAAGCTTTATTTGTGGAAATCAACGGAAAATCTAATGATAATCAATATGAAAAGTAATATTGTAAATTTTTAGGAGGGTGGTTTAATTGATAAATAAACATTTTAGAATATGGTTGTGGAAATTTATGAGTTTAACTAAATAGTGAACTGGTCAATTTTAGATCACCACTGAAAACCTGTAAGCATTGAGGGCCGTTTCGTCCAAGTCTTAAACTGCTCAGTAAAGCACATCTAAAATCCCACACTCGGAAATATAACTCAATACCGTCGGTCTCGCCTAACACTCAGATCAATGAACCGGGATCTAACAATGGTAATTTCTAACTTCAATCAATTCCCGATGTTACGCGTTCATCTTCTGTTGTCTTCAATAGGTAACTGTTTCACAGCTGACATGGTTGTACTCCACTGGTCATGGCCTTATGATCTAACAGGATGTAGATATAGAATCAATAAACCCAAATATTATGTTTTATTAAGTTCATCTATAGAAAAATCAATCAATAATTTGAGAACTGAAGATAAATTCACTGACCAACTCACTACACTTAAAAGTTTAAGTAAAAAAAAACTTTATTTGATTATCATAATATTAGCATGAATGTATGGATACAAAGCATCATAACCATTTGAACATTCTAGCAACGAAGTTTTTATTTAATTCTATTAGTCAAAATCACCAATCGAACAACTTCAGATTCACTACTGAATTATAATGATACATTAATGATAAGTGCAATGTCGAATACCATTTGTAGATAAATGTTTTACTCACTATTTAAAGATTTATCATAGTAGTATTCCGTTTGTATTGAAATAGTTTTAACAATATAAGATATTTAAAGTAATTAGTCCCTTTGATAAATTTCAATAATGTAATAGGAAGATGAAGATTATCAGAACTATGTGATATATTAGTGCAATACATTTCGAACAATCTGATCACACATATACTTGTTAAGAACATTTATATATAAAAATAAAATGTCAACTAGACTCGAAATGGGGGGGGGTAAGAGTAAACAAGGATAAAAATAATAAAAATGATGTGAAAACTAATTGACACCTAATCACTCTGGATAATAAGCTAATATTAACAGGGTAGGTTAAACAAACTGTTTTTGATTAGACATAGGGGGTTTGAATTTTCGTATGACTATGGCTTTAATAAACTTTAGTATACGCTCTTTTACACTTTTATACAACACAACATCATACAACAAGTATATGTGTGATCAGATTGTTCGATATGTATTGCGCTAATATATCATCATATAGTTCTGATAATCTTCATCTTCTTATTACATTATCGAAATATAAGATATTTTATCTTGCTTAACGTCAACTCTTTCAAAACATACTTGAATTCTAATAACAAAATATTTTCTTTAATTAATTAAATTGTTTTCATATGGGTAATAAACATTAAAACAAAACTTTGCAAGTTATTTCTAAGTTGTAAGTTAAAATATACTTAACTATTATTTTGATTTATTATATTATTTCAATTGCATGTATTCAATCGGAATTATTCATTAACTTTTAACATATAACTATATCACACACAGTTCAATGGTATGTTCAATGTTAAATATTCATGTAGTTTTGAATAAATAATTATTTTGTTTTTGTTTTGTTAAATAAGAACATAAATAATTTTAAAATAAATAAATAAAGTTTTCATGTTTTGTGGTAATTTGAAATCTGGAAATAATGAATAACCTATGAATAAGTAATTAAGAAACTGTTACTTAGTAACTGTAAATATAAGAAGACGGTTATTTATTATTATTAGGTGTTGACACAAACCTCTCATGAATGTTCTTAATTCTAGAAAATTCTAATCGGTTAAATGAACACTATATTTAAGTAGTTAATCAGTTCATTTAGATACTATTTAACAGCTAAGTATGAAAAATGTATCAAAATCATGAGAAGTTATCACTCCCTGTACTTTGACTGAAAATCTAAACTAAAATTGTATAAATTTCATTACAATATGGTGAACGACAACACAAGTGGAGATAATCGAATGTATCTGAACACAAAATTACAGAATATCTTAGTAAAATCTTAGAACTATACAGTAAATATTTCATTTGCAAAATATCAGTCAATCGCCTTATACTTCATTGCTCATTCATTTATACACAAATTATCTTCTGTTCTAATTGTCTTTCCTTTGATTTTCTTAACCTTCTGCTTCGAGATATTTCACTTTCGATTGATGATACATACTACTTCTATATGTCGACAACATTGACACACGTCATAATAAAAAAATAGTTTGAATGTTTTTATAGAGAAGGGTTTCATAAAAGTTCATTTACAAACTCACTCTTATATCGATAGCCAAGGTGGTGAAAGTGGTTATTAAAACAAGCTTATTTTGGATGTAATTGTTTGGTTTATGAATATCGATTCCCATGGCTTTAGCAACATGCAAATAACGAATCCGTAAACTATATGGTGAGCTTGGTGGAACAATTTGAATAGCCTTAAATGCTTCATTCAGATCAACGTGATGACCTGTGTCCACCAAGTGAACGAGAATAAAACTGCTAATCACTCTTACCTGTCCTTTGCTTAACCAAGATGGATGGTGTTCTGATATGCAATGACGGACTAGATGAGTTGTACACCCTATATAACTGACTCCACAGGAGCAGTTCAATTGGTGTATACACATGGATATGGCGAATTCAGGCAGTATGTCTTTAATGAGAGTTTTTATTATGAGGTATATGTAGAAAACGGCATTCAGTTGTATGCAGTAAATGTTTTCTGTACCTCTTTTCTTAACCTTTGAGTCACAATTTCTTCGGTTGCTGAAGCCATTGTAATCCATGTTCATAAACCAAATTTTTTCATCTCGCCAACCTGGCCATTCGTATGGGAGTCAGCTTTTAGCTGAACTCATAGTAAACTTTGATGCAGGTTTAATAATTGCAAAATAAACTTTTATCAAAAATTTTAGACTATGGTAACGTGTGATAATTATTCAAAGAAAATTATTATGTATGGTTTCATTGTTTTCAGTTGACAGGGATTGTGATTAGTCATTCATATTGATAATAATTTTTTATTATTCATAAGTAAACCAGATGATTATAATAAGTTGGATATCTCGAATAGTGCATTAGCCTATATAATCTTTTTATAATTAAATTTCCACATATTCCCATTCTATATCTAGGCTTGAGCCAGAATAAATTTAATATTGATCGAGTTTCAAACTGAAAGTTATCAAGCCTTACTTAAATATTTCTTCATTTACGTAGTAGTAGTAGTAGTAGTAGTATTAGTAGTAGTAGTAGTAGTAGTAGTAGTAGTAGTAGTAGTAGTAGTAGTAGTAGTAGTAGTAGTAGTAGTAGTAGTAGTAGTAGTAGTAGTAGTAGTAATCAACCTGATGTATTAGCTATTCATATAGAATTTCATTCTTATTTAAAATTTTCAAGTAAAACACTGTCAAATATTAGCGATAAGCTTTTTGTTGAACTAGATATAAGTAATAAACGAGTATAAAATTATATTTCCTTCTAGCAATAAAAAAGTTCGCCGAAAATGTTATACTACTGAATTTGCTTATTGTTGTAGTGTATTTTTTAAAAGCGAACTGTTACAAAATATTAGAAATTCCTTTGATAAGAAGATAAATACACTTTTTTAAAAGGAATATGTTGTACAAGTTTATAGCTTCTTGTAAGTTTATCCGTTCTCAGTAGACATACAAAAGCTTATTAATATTTAAAGATATATTACTACAGAATCATTTTGGCTCAAGTCTGTTATATCTATAATGATGTAATAAGCTTTTTTAAAATATAACTATCTTAGTTCAAGAGATCCTTTCTTAATCAAAGGTATATATATTTCCCCCATATTTTGTGAATACCTTGTTTTTTTCTTATATAGACGGTAATGTCGGATTATTGTACAAAAAAATTGAATTCTCAGTGAGGATTTAATATGAACAGAAATGAGCGGAATCATGAAATATTTCTCTTTAATTAGTTTTCCATAATGGTTTTTGCCTGATATATACATATTGTTCACAATAATAAAATAATACATATCTAATAGTAGTTTTATAATTTCACAAGTGATTTTATATCAATGTCGAACGACTAAATCAATGATTAGAAGAATGATATGGTAAGTGTAATCAACAAAATAATAAGGCAATAGAAAGGACATTGAAAAGAGGAATACATAGAAATTTGGTGATTGGAGAATGCATTATTTTCTACAATTCGGTACTAATCAGATATTAAAGGATTTGCTTCAATGA